GCTGGTGACATCTGTAAGTGGGGAGGCAGAACTGACAGTGCAGCACATTCATGAGCCAGTGGGCACAGTGACTCACCACCAGGCTGAACCTGACCTAGTGGGAATGGAGCGGATCTCTGCTGAAAGGTTACTGGACGTGTGCAAGTTCATTGTGCAGAGAGAAGTAAGAGAGAAGCAGAGGAAAGTAAATTGTGTAATCTTTTACTGTAAGAGGCGTACATCTTGCCTTTTCATTTGGGATTGTTTAGACATACTCTATTGTATTTTTGTTTGAGGCAGTACTCTGAGAATCAGCTTTCAATATAGGACATAGTTTTCATTTGCAAGTGAAAAAAATCTGTTTATTTTATAGAGGAATATCAAAGGTAAGATGCTTTTCTAATAGCATATTTGTTATTTTTAGAAGTGAAGTCTGTGTATTAGGTTCCAATAGAGGCAAACAGGATTTTTTATTAAATCAATATTGTGTAGCCATTACTGTTTTCCAAAGAATCTAAAGAGTATATGACTTCTTAGTAAAGTGCTAAGCACAAAGTAGGGGTTATATAGTTTTGAAGTGGCAAATAATAAGAGACAATATTCTATAACTTGACCTATTTAACTTTCTATTTTAAAAAAATACCGTGCTATATCCCCAGTGTATCAGTAATTTTAGAACAGGTTTGTTATTTAAGCACAAGTCTGATAGAGTAGTAGAGACCCATGCATGCAGACGGATCATGTATTTCTCCCTAAATGTACTCACAGATGAGTTTCAGTAACTAATTTTTTAAAGTTAGAAGCCATCAGGAGCGCCTGGGTGGCTCACTCAGTTAAGCCTCTGCTGTTGGCTCACGTCATGATCTCAGGGTCCTGAGATCAAGCCCTACTTTGGGCACTCTGCTCAGCAAGGCGTCCGCTTCTCCCTCTCCCTCTGCCCCTCACCCCACTCCTGCTGTCTCTCAAATAAATTTCTTTTTAAAGATTGTATTTATTTATTTATTTGACAGAGCAAGAGAAAGCGAGAACAGGAACACAAGCAGGGGGAGTGGGAGAGGGAGAAGCAGGCTTCCCGCTGAGCAGGGAGCCTGATGCGGGGCTCGATCCCAGGACCCTG